TTTCTATGTAGAACCCAGGATATCAGGCCAGGGTCTGGACTGCCCACAATGTCATGGATGCTTCCCCATCAACTAGTAATAAAGAAAATCTTCTACCGGCTTGCCTGAAGCCTGATATTAGGGAGGCATTTTCTCAATCAAGGCTTCTTCCTTCTCTGATGACGATAGCTGGTGTCAAGTTGACATAAAACTAGCTAGCACAGCCCCCAAGTAGTAGAATATTTATTTTGCATGTGGGAATTAAGTTATCTTGTACCATGGTGCATGTGTGGAGGTCAGGGAACAGCTGGAAGCTGGTTCTCACCTTCCATGTCATGGCTGTCACTGTGCAGTGCATGCCAGGCAGCCAAGTTCATGAGCGTTTGGGAGGTTCTCTTGACTCCGCCTGCCATCTCACAGTCCAGGTACCAAGCTCACACATGTGCTTTCTTCCTGGGTTCCAGGGCTCAAACTGAGGTGCTTAGGTTTGCAGGGTAGGCAGGTACCTTGACCCCCTGAACCATCTCCCAGCACCCATCATTCCTTGTAGTAGATCTTCCCACTGCTAAGGTGGTGACCATCCAGCAAGTGAAGCCCTTACCCAATGGGAAAGCACATGGACATTTGGATAAAATCTAATCACAATGACTGTATTAGTAAAAGAATAAAAAAATTCATTGTTCCATAAACCAGACTTTCTGTAAATGTTACTAAGAGCAGACGACATTTGAGGAAGCCAGGGACGGCAAGATGGCACAGTGGGTAAGAGTGCTTCTAAATCCATTGTAAAAGAGGAACCGAGTCTAAATTCTGTGTGTGATGTGATGAAATGCATTAGCATCATCTGTAAACTTTAAGACGCCGCTGGGGGCCACACCTATGATCCCAGCACTAGACAGGCAGAGGTGGGACCTGTGATCCCAGCACTCGGGAGACAGGCAGTCGTGGCACACCTGTGATCCCAAACCTTGTGGGAGGGAGGCAAAGGAGGATCTCTGACAGCCTGGTCTACAGAGTGAGCTCCAGGACAGACTGGACTACAGAGCGAGTTCCAGGACAGCCAGGGCTATGCAGAGAAACTGTGTTTTGAAATAACAAACAACAAAATGCCTCTAGAAGCTTTGAAGCAAGCTCAACAGGTTTTAAAATTACTGTTTTTCCTGTAGTTCTTTGTTTTAATGGTATCTTATCTAGGTTTGTCCAAGAGCCTTGAAAACACTGTTTCATGAGGGCTAATAACTGTCAAAAGTCATCCTAAGCCAGGCAGTGGTGGTGCACACCTTTAATCCCAAGCAGATCTCTGTGAGTTCCAGGAAACCCTGTCTCAAAAAGCAAACAACAACAAAACACTGGCAGAAGCATCTGGTAGGTTGTTACAGCCGAGTGGGAAGTGTCTGATGCAGGTCTCGGATGCCATCTGATGACATTCTCAGCCCTTGATTAGTGGCAGCTAGGGGACTCGTAGGTTCTGAAGGGATTTGCCCCAATCATAAAAACATTACGTCAAGCAGAGGTGGCTGTGAAGGTAGCTCAGGGTAATTTGAGTCTGGCCTTGTAACATCCCACATCACCACATCATGGAAAAGCAAGAAACAATGAAACCCCAGAAGCCGATGTGTGAGGCTACCTTGTGAATCGTTAGCATGGCCTGCACTCTTTTTCTGGAGAGTGATGGTTCACAGAAATGTCTCTCCAGGTTTGGGAGTGGGTGTGGCTGCCATGCGTACTGAGTTGTGCTGGGGAGGAGCTGGCTGCAGTGCAAAGAGACAGACCACTGGAGTAACAGAAGTTGGTGTCAGTCACTATTCCTGAGTGACCACATCAGGTGTCTGTGCCCACTGCATGACAATAGCTTCCCTGGGAAGTTCTGCTCAGCGGGTTAGCTTGAAGAGAGTTAGGATAGGGCTAGAGGTCAAAGGTCAGAGGCAGCACTACTGTCAAGTACATGAAAGGTCCTGGATTCCTTCCTCAGCATCACAAAGAAAAACAAACATGTGGTCAATGACGCAGCCCCACCCTCCTCTGCCACAGATGGCTTGTTGAGCTTCAATACTGTTTTCTTTTTTTGGTTTTGAGACAGGGTCTCACTTCATAGCCCTGGCTGTTCTAGAACTCACTATGTAGACCAGGCTGGCCTTGAACTCACAGAGATCCACCTGCCTCTGCCTTCAGAGTCCTGGGAATAAATCTGACTCTTTCAGTTCTCAGTGTTTCATAATTGTATAAGTTACTACTTTGTGCCAAAAAAATATGAAGAGCAGGACAGTGCCCTAAACCCTATTGCTCCGTAAGCTGGAGGTTGCCTTCAGGACATGCAGTTGATGTCTCCCAGGGGAGGAGCATCTGTGTTTCATCATGTAGTGCATGTCTCAGACCAACCGTTAAGGAGTCTGCAGCAAGGGTGTGGCTGCTGCTCGTCCCAGGATACGGTGTGCTGTGCTTCAGCGCTGACCTGATGTGGGAGACTGGCTGTGCCTTCAGCGCTCAGCCCTTCCTCAGGGGTCCAAGTGTCCGCAGTGGCACTGTCTCCGTAGTCACCTCACTGCCTTCTTTGGGTGATGCAAGCGTGGGTTTGTCCCTCTTTAAAAGCAAATCTTCGAAAAGGAAATTATTTAGACATTAGGGTTATGTGAGGTATCTTCAGAATTAGGACTGTAAACAACCTGGTAGCTTCTGGAAGCTGTGGACCTGTGGGTTGTTATTGTTCCATTTTGACCTGGAGGGCTGTGTCGGTGGCTTGGCTGGGGGCAGCATAGAAGCTGGGCCTGAGTTGCATGCTGGACCCAAAGTTGAGAAGAACCTGAGTCTGTCAGCCCCTTAGCTCCAGGATGGCCTTGGGTGGTTCCCCCATAGAGAAGGCTATGGGTACCTGTGTGGACCTGTCTGTCTACTGCATGCATGCCAGGGGAGCAGTGGATTGTGGGTTTAAGTGTTAAGACACTTTCTTCAAGCTGGTCTGCCACTGCCTTCCTGGCAGCTCTCAAGCCAGACTATGTGACACCAGGAGGCCCCAACTCTAGGCCTTCCTTGCTACTCAGTGCGTCCCCTTCCCACAAGCTGCCATTGGTCACACCAGTATGGCTAGCACCAGGTAAGTTTGGGTGCATTGGAAAGAAACTACTTTCCCCGAGGGGAAGAACCAGACCTCAGCTCAGCTCGGCATGCCCCGTCCCCAGCCTTGTCAATGGGTGGCCGGCATGGAGGTGGCCAGCATGGAGGTGGCCGGCATGGAGGTGGCCGGCATGGAGGTGGCTGGCATGGAGGTGGCCGGCATGGAGGTCCATTTCGTCCTCTTCTGGATTGTAGTTTTGCTCAACTTTCATCTCTCTCCCCGTCATCAGACAGAGCCGAGGGCCCTCCTCTCTTTCTACCTGTTGCTTTACCTTGCTGTATTCAGTGGTCACCCCCCCCATCAGCTGACCCTGGGTCACTCAGTTACTGCTCAGTAAGACTAGACTGTGTCTGTAGCCTGTGGCCCTTGCTCCACAGAGGAAGGGACTGATGTCCCTGCCCAGTATAGATGAGGGCTGGAGGGAAGTGACTATGGGAAAGACCCTACACTGCTGGCCTGGCAGGAGATGGTATGGCCCAGCTGCAGCTGCTTCCTGTACTTGCTGAGGTCAGGCAGAAAGCACACAGGTCAGAACCCTGAGTTGTACTTAGAGTAAGGAGGCCACGAGAGCACAGTCTTCCTGTGTGAGCCCATGTGTGCCACTGTTCCACCCACCAGCTTCCTGTGGCTGGGGCGTAGAGCATTGCACGAGGCTGGCCCTGAGGAGCAGTGAGGTGGTAGGGCTGCTGAGTGCGGGCAGTGTGGGCTGGCATCTCTGTTCCTGTAGGGCTGCCGAGTGCGGGCAGTCTGGGCTGGCATCTCTGCCCCTGTAGGCTTGCTTTCTTGCACAATGCTTTCCTGCCCCGCTCCACAAGCACTGCCCGTCTCATGTGCCAAGTGTGAACATGAGCTGGCCACGCAGCCAGCCCTGACGTTTCACCCACTTGGCAAAATGGCTATTTTTGTGCTCTGGGACATAGCTGAGTGGTCACTGTGCTATCCCAACTCCTGCCAGCTGAATCCTGTTGCCCTGCCGTGGGAAGAGGCTGCAGACTCCCCCAGCCATCTGAGATCCAGAGTCCAGGGAGAGGGGAGTGGAAGGGCAGGTAAGGAGCCAGGGTGTCCCGAGCCCCTGCCTGGTGGGAAGGGCAGAAGGCAGCCAGGAAGGGAAGAGCAGGGACAGCTCAGAGTGGCTCTGAGGGCACTGATCCTGCTGACCTGGATTCCCTGGTCACTCTCTGGGCAGAAAGAGTGTTGTCTCCCCAAACAAAAAGCCAGACTCGTCCTTCAACCACAAGAAGGTCATGTCAGTTCCCAGCACTTAGTCAGGCTGGGTGGCCCGACAGGACACCTCGACCTTGGGGACCTTGGCCTTGGCCACTGTAGGGTGGAGTTACTAGGATAAGTTATAGAACAAAACTTGAATTTGGCATAAAGTTTGGGGACCTCAGAGAGAAGGACACAAGAAGACAGCTGTTGTAGGACATGGAGTTAGAAGAATTTAGGTATGAATTTGTGTATTTTTCTCATTGGTGAGCTCTTCAGACCAGGCCATCCTCTTGAAGGGTCTGCCTCTTTAATGAGAACTGAGCCAGGCCCCTCCCAGGGGCCTCAGGGACAGAAGGCCAGATTCCCTTATCCCATTTAGCCCTTGTAGCCCAACTCCTGTGGTAGTGTCTGGTGCCTTAAGGATAAGTGAGGAGGGGGTGTCAAGGTGGCCATTGGGAGTGACCACTGCCTCAGTACAGGTCCCTGTGTGGGGTGAAGGGGACCTACTAGAAGTGGGAATGAATGCAGCCCATAGTCATGCTGGGGCTCAGCCTGGGATGGCACGGGCTACTGCATATGCTTATAGCAGCTGCAGTAACACCAAGAGTCTTTGCTACTCTTCATGCATTACTCTGTGTCACTCTTGATCCCACTGGCTGGGTGAGCATTTTAGAAGCTTTCTTACTCAAAACACATCTACTGAGGTTTTCTGAGTTTATATTCAGATGTGGAGCTCACATATTTGACTGTGGAGTAGAAGATGCTCCTAGCGCATGAGAGGAAGTGGGACTCTTTTCTAGTTTTCCGTGGTCACCTTTCAGGCCAGTCTTCTTGATAGCTACGGGTCCCGAGTGGTAACACTCCACTGCCATGTGCCCTGTGGAGGCCGAGGGGGTTTTCTGAGACCAACTTAGTTGGTTCCGTTTGAATCTCCACCTTCCTGAAAATGTAGCTTAGATGTGTGGAGTATGGTGCCAATTTAAGGTGAACATGACAGTGCTCTTGTGCAGAACCAAGGCCTGCGAAAGGCCTGCAGACAGCCTGCACCTCTGGGTTTGCCCCGCAGAGGCGCTCTCAGGAGGATCCTCAATGTTCCTATGGCACCTGGAGAGTCTGGGGCAGGGACATCGTGGAGAAAAGTAGCAGACAGAGAGCATGAAGGCACTGGAGGCCTTGTCATGTCCCACCCCACCCAGCTGAGCTTCTCTTCCTGAACCGCCTGTGGCCCCAGCCCCTCCCTTTGGCAGACATTACCTCTCTCTGATTCTTCCGGTTGGCAGTCTTGGGACCTCAGACTTCTGACAGGGTGAAGAAAGGCTGCACATTTACAGGAGCTGGGCTTGGCCTGAGGGAAGGAACGTGAGCTCTCCCCATGCCCAGAAAAGGCTAGAATTCACCTCCACCAGTGTTTTTACATTGTGAGCTGCAGTGTGTGTAGTTAAGTGTGTGACTAAGAATGACCACTGTAATGGTTATTATGCAGGAAGTAACTCACCCACTTCTCTAAGTGCAATCTGCCATGATACTGTGCGGTGTGTGTAAGATGACTGATACATTGTATGTGTGGAGTGTGCATGTGGGCATTATGCATTGTGTGGCTGTTCACACTGTTCACATGTTCACACGTGACTCCTGCTCACTTGTATGCCATTCATGCTGTGTGCTTGTGTGTAAGTGCACCTACACTATGTACATGCATGATTTGGAGCATGGCATTCATGCGTGTGTGCTTGTGTGTTAAGTGCACCTACACTATGTACATGCATGATTTGGAGCATGGTATTCTGCCTTGGCCTCGGGTGGTGTCCTGGTGTAAGAAACAAAGCCGCACCTGTGAGCCCAGAGGCCTGTCACAGGCCCATTGTGTAGTCATCAGGCTGGGAGCTCTGGGGCTCCCTCTGCTTGCCTTCCCACCATCACCACTGCTCCGGCCAGGGCAGCCATCAAAAACACCCTGGAGGCCGCAAAGATTCTGGAGCTGGGGACTTGGAGTAAGTGAGGGACCTGGGGTTTTTCACTTGCTTTTTTGCTTAGTAGCACCCGGGCCTGATCTGCCACTAGAGTTGCGTCTACTGCCCCCTCTGTCCACTTCCCTGCCCCATTCTATAGAAACAGCCCAGGGGCCATTAGCACTCAGCCTCAGTCACCCGTCCGTCCCACACTAAAAGCACTCAAGGGACATTGTCATTTCCCTCTTGTCCTCTGACTCCTCCAAAGGTGTTGAGAGGGGTTCCAGGCCATGCTGGGCTCTCATAGCCCCTGTGCAGTGGTCAAAGAGGCCAGACACAATTTGCTTGGCTTCTGCTTGCTGGAATGACATGCCTGCAGCTCCAATGGTGATGTGTTTTTTCTCTGGCCCAAAGCTATCCCAGCTGGCATCCCTGGCAAAGGTGTGGCTCAGTAGGCCTGGTCCTGGATGGGAATAGGATGGGCTTTGAGTCTCTGGGACTTCAGGCTCCTGCTCTGAGGAGTCCTCTGCCAAGTAGTTCTTTCAGGAAATTGTAGTAGTAGTTGTTGTTTTTTACTTTTTTGGCTCTTTGCAGGGCCTGCTACCCAGCTCCCAAATAAATGCACATGGAGTCTTATTCTTTCTTACGAGTGCCTGGCCTTAGCCTGGCTTGTTTCTAGCCAGCTTTTCTTAAATTATCCCATGTGCCTTTTGCCTCTGGGCATTTACCTTTCTCTGTTTCTGTATATATTTCCTTACCTCTTATTCCGTGGCTGGCTGTGTAGCAGGAGTCCTCCTCTCCTCCTTTTCTTGTCTTGCTCCTTGATCTTCTCTTCCTGGATTTTTCTTTCTATTTTTTCTCTCTGTCTTCCAGCCCCACCTAACCTTTTTCCTGCCCTGCTATTGGCCATTCAGCTCCTTATTAAATCTAGTAGGTGTTTTAGGCAGGCAAAGTAGCACAGCTTCACAGAGTTAAACAAATGCAACCTAAAAGAATGCAACACATCTTTTCATTGTTAAACAAGTGCTCCACAGCATAAGCAAACATAACACATCTTACAATAATTTTCCACAACAGGGAACCTAATCAGCATGGCTTGTAAGACAGGGAAGTGTTGCTGCTGTTTGTGTGCTTATAGCAGACTGGAGTCACACGTTTAGTAGCTATGGCAGCATCCTCTGTGTGTTGTCTGCTTCACCTGTGTGAATGGTAGATTCACAGTAAAGATGGTGCAAGGTGACAGAGCTGGAGTCTCGTGTCCCTTGCCTCCTGAGTGAGCAGCTGCTGATGTGACCTCAGGGTGCACAGCAGTGCTAGCAGACCTTGGTATCCCCCCTCAGAAACGTCATCATTGGCCTTGTATTTATACACCTCATTTCACAATCCCAAATGACTGATTGAATGTCCCTTCCTAGCTCAGAGGGGAAGAGGTTTATCACCTTCCCTGGGACACCAAAAACTTCATCTAGAGGCCCTACTCCTCCCACCTCCCTGTTTACTAGCTAGAAGTGGGTCACATGTCCTCCGGGGCACCTGCTCCAGGAGGAGAGGGGTGCGGCTTTGTGGTTTGGTATTGGGCTGGGCTCCATTTTCAGAATCCTGGGGTATACGCTGCTGTAATGGCTGTGCTGTCCCCAGCTCCAGGTGCTATCAGCTAACCTTGGTTCATCTTGGTGCCACAGAGTAGAATTCTGCCAGGGATCAGAGGGACTGGGGTGTGACATTTAATTGTACCTTTGAATTCCTTAGTCAAGAAAATGTAATACTACACAATTCTCATGAACTCAGCCATGGTTTACAGGTAATTTTTGTTACTTTTTAAACTTGTGTAAACCCAGTAGAAACACAAGTCCTCTGGAGCCCAGAAGGCCCAAGTGAGATGCTGTGTGAGAGACCTGACCCTCATCTCATGGCTGTGGCTGTGCTGTAGCGTGGACATCCAAGGCTGCAGACTATGGCTGTGGGTTACCCCCTCAGTACAAGGGGGTAGGATTGCTCCTCGTTCCTGAAGCCTCGACTGGAGGGAGGGTCTATGCTCTTGGTGTGTGTATGATATGGTCAAGCTGGTGGTGACAGGCTTTGTAGCTGTGACACTTGGACGGTTGTTTTTGTAGCTGTGACACTTGGACGGTTGTCCTCACTCCTCTTCAGTTGTTTGGATCTCTTTCCTGGTTGTGTTTCCTGTGAGCTGTGGATTCAGTTTGTTCTAAGGTGGTAGGGGAGCTTTGGCTATTGTAATTAGCTTTCAGTAGTATTTATAAACAGCTTATACATTGAAATGGCTTATGGTGTGCCTAAGCAATCTATGGCCACACCCACTTCACTGTGATTATGTGGGTCAGCAGTTTCATCTGGGATTATCTAGGTGCTTCTGGTCCCCCTGGAATCGTTCCTGTTTACCCCAAGGTTGTGGTCTGGTAACCTGGACTGGGTTGGGCTCATCATCCAGTAAACTGACCAGAGCATCCTTACTAATGACCGAAGATCACAGCAGGCTGCAAGGTCTCTGAAGGCAATCCTGGAAGTCATAAATGCCCTTGCTACCCAGGCGGCCAGCCAAGGTCCGGGGTCAGGGATCAGCCCACATCTGAGTAGCAGCCATGTGGACTGACTCGGAGCATGCTCAGAAAGGTTCCCTGCAGCCTCCCTCTCTGAAAGACTCTTACCCCTCAGCCAGGCAGTGTGTGGGGGATCCCTGGAGTGACAGTGCTCTGACAGAGAAGAGGGCATTCTGGGAGGTGGTCCCTAGGAAATCAGGGCAAAGGGACCAAGGATGATGGAGAGGCTCCAGGGAATGGGAGGATGGAGACTGACTGTGACCAGGAAGTTGGCTGTGGGAAGGGACCTGAAGGTTTCCCAGATCTCTGATCAGAGAGTCAGAAAGCCTGTATATCATCTGTGAGAGGCATGTGAGTGCACAGGCCTTGGGCTGTGCTGGGAGTTTCAGGACTCAGAACTCTGGAGATAAGACCCGTGGTTTGGTTCAGGTACAGCTAGAGCCTCTGTACCTGACTTGTGCCTTCATTCTCCACTGGGCACATGTGCAATAAGTTCAGAAACAACAGCCTTCATCACTTTGTCAGCCCTCATCTCTGTACCATCGCATCCTGGGGTCCTAAGGGAAGGCCGTCCTTGTGTGTGGTGGGCTGGTTCAGTGTCCTGCTGATGCCCTGAGCCCCATACATCTCAGGGAAAGACCTAGGGCTCCTTTAGGTAACAGTTAACTAAGGAAGGGTCCTACTTGTTGGTGACTGGTGTATATGGAGAGAGAGTGCCTGAACCTCCTCCCAGGTGCATCCTTCGGGGGCAGCATCTCTGTAGTGTGCCTTCCAGCTGTGGTGACATTTGAGGGTTTGAGTAAGGTCCCTGCAAGGGCACACATAGAGTGATGCTGATGCCACATAGAGTGTTTGGTGTGGCCAACCCTGCAATCAGCACAGGCTTGCTGAGCCACTGGTCCCCTCCTCCCCAACTGGCAAGCAATCCATCTGTTCCTTGGAAACCAAGGCTGGCTTGTCTCTGACCTTCCATCATCCTGTGACCCAGGAAGGTCAGAGTTCCAGCAGTTTGTTCAAGTGCCGTGATGAAACCTTGAAAGCGACTGTCTCCCTCAGGGACAAGATGCTTTATTGCTAGGCTGGTTTCGGGAGCACAGTAGACCCATTATTTAACAAGTGTTATGGAAAAGCCCGGGAGACCACCCTGTGAGCTGTAGGGACCACTCTGTCTCCCAGCTGCTGGCTTTGGAAACCGTATCTAAGCCTCTAGTGACATCCAATCACATGGAGATCCTAAGTCACACCAGTGCCCAGAGGTCATAACCGGTGCCAGACACCACGGCAGGAATTGTGAAATTGAGAGGGGCGTGGGAGAAAGAGGTTGTGATCTGACAGTGCTGTCTGTTGCAGGATGACAATCTCATGGCCAGGGTTAGTCCACTCTCAGGCAGCCCCTGTAGGGATTATGGTAGCTAGCTGACACCATGCTCTTACGCCAAGGATGTCTAGTGACATCACTTCCCTGGTGGTAGAGTGTTAGGTGTCCCCTGTGAATGAACTGTCTACCAGTCCTGTGGAGTTTCTTGGTCAAAACTGTTGACCCTAAGGTGACCATGAGGAGGCAGTCCCTTCAGATGGTTGTGTAGACCTCAGAGCTCTCAGGATGGAGATCATAGTGAAAAATAAAGATAAAACCTGAGAAGTGATACCTGTGAGGTGTCCCCAGGGTGCAGAGGGCTAGCCTGTGCTGCGGACAGAGGGTTAAAGCTTGGGATGGGGCCATGACTTTGCAAGTAGGTGATCCCAGCTCACAGGACAGTGTAAGTGTAGCGTCCTGAGGCGCCTCCCCTCTGAGCCGGTGTGGCAGAAGTGTCAAACAAGACTGAAGCGGATCACAGTTTGCCTAGGACAGTAGGTCACAGTAACCAATAAAAAGCTCTCAAGCAGCATTCCAAGCCACAGAGACTCTTGGTGTGCCATGTGGTGATAAGATCCTGCAGCAAAAAAGTGCAAAAACACAGGCAGAGAGCAAGCAGGTCAGTGTCTGCATAGGGAGGCTTGAGACAGCCACGGGGACACCAGATCCCTGGGCTGGTCAGTGTCTATGGTTTCACTTAGAGATGAAAACTTACTTTAAAAAGCCATATTTTATGGCAGGGCAGATTCTGTACCTCTGCATATTTAAATTTGGGTTTGAAATGTAGGCATCCACTTGAAATGGTCTGAGGACACATAGCTTTCTAAAACGTGCTTTGTGCTGGGCATGGTGGTTACATGCTTTATGCTCCAACACTGGAGGCAAAGGGGCGGATCTCTGGATCTCTGTGTGTTCTAGGCTAGTTAGGGCTACATAGTGAGAACCTGCCTTAAAACACACACACACACACACACACACACACACACACACTTGTTTGAAAGTCACATGGGCCAACACACCTGGTCACAGAATCTGGCCCCTCCCCACACTTACCTGCTCTGATAGAGACTTTGCAGCCACAAGCAGAGCAGAGCAGAGCAGGAGCGTGAAGGTTGAGTGGTGTTCTTTTTTTTTTCTTCAAAGATTTATTTATTTTATATATATGAGTGTTCTATATGCATATACAACTTTATGTGAGAAACAGGCACCAGATCTCATTATAGATGGTTGTGAGCCACCATGTGGTTGCTGGGAATCGAACTCAGAACCTCTGGAAGAGCAACCATTGCCCTTAACCTCTGAGCCATCTCTCCAGCCCAAGTGGTGTTCTTGTATACAACACCGAAGGCAGAAAAGCAACGAGGAAAGTGTCCGAGATCTGTCCCTGTTGTCGCTGTTTTGTTTTTGTTCTTTCAGATGGTGCACTCATCTACTTCTGGTTTAACAAGTGACTCCAGAACCCAGTGACTTAGTCAAGCTCTTGCAGTCACAGTTAAACTGCCATGGCTTCGGCCATCTGGAGAGCTGGCTGGAACTGAGGCTCCCTACACAGCATGAGGTCTCGTTTCTATCACAAGAGTGAGACCTGAGCCGGGCGTTGGTGGCACACGCCTTTAATCCCAGCACTCGGGAGGCAGAGGCGGCAGATCTCTGTGAGATCAAGGACAGCCTGGTCTACAGAGCGAGTTCCAGGAGAGCCTCCAAAACAATACAGAGAAACCCTGTTTCAAAAAAACAAAAAAAAAAAAAAAAAAGAATGAGACCTGCTATATATGTATGTCCTTAGGGCATGGTAGCTGGCCTGCCTAATAGTCCAGCATCAGAAAACCATTGTGTGTGTGTGTGTAGTGGTTGTGTGTGATGTTTGTGTGAGATGCACACAGGCATGATGTTTGTTCCTCAACTTTCCAGAGGGAGCCTGTCTCTGAGCCAGGAGCAGGGCATCTCTTACTCAGGGACAGTGCTGTCCAGGCCACAGCCTATGCCCAGTCCCTGCATACTCTGACCAGTGCACCCTGTGCTTGCAGGACGGCTGTTCTCAGTGAAGGACCGTGCGCCCGCCCCTGAGCAGCGACCATGGGCCTGCTTGCCTACCTGAAGACCCAATTCGTGGTGCACCTGCTCATTGGCTTCGTCTTTGTGGTGAGCGGGTTGGTTATCAACTTCACCCAGCTGTGCACACTGGCCCTCTGGCCCATCAGCAAGCAGCTATACCGCCGCATCAACTGCCGCCTGGCCTACTCGCTCTGGAGCCGTAAGTGTCTCCGCCCATACAGGGAATTTTACAAGGGTTCCTCTCCAGGGGGAAAGGGAAGCTTCTCCTGCCAGGGTTCTCAAGGGGCAGTAAGTACGGGGCCACACCTGACACACCATCCCAGAATAGAGCGAGGTGAAGCTCAAGCCTCCCCGAGGTCACACCCTCCCAGGGGCCCTGAAAACAGGTGTCCAGAGTAACTTTACTAGTCTCAACTCCGTGATGTTTCCATAGCAGGCTGTGTGACTCACAGAAAAGGAGACTTTAGAGGACATAACAGCACTGTGCGTGCTTTCAAACCAACAAAAGCGAGGAGGGAATTGGTTAGTGACCTGAGACCCAGCCTCCAGCACACAGTATTTCATGGCCCCTGCCTATTCACATCACAGTACACAGAGAAAAACAAGGGTGCCCTTCAGACACCAGTGTGTAGATGCTGCCTGTCTGTCAGAATACACTGGTGTATGAGAGCACATTTATGTGAGGAACCTGGACAGACAGCCACTAACTCCCACCCTGCCCACCGTGGGCGTGGCACTGACCTGGATGCGGAACGTGGCTGCCTGCAGTTTACATGATGCCAGTCTGACTCAGTTGCTCCACAGAGTAAGAATGCAGCTTTGTGAGTCCTGTAGATGTCCATTCCCCACAGGCATCCCCATCTTGTTTATATGAGCCCAAAGCTAACCAGGCAGTCTTGTAGAGGCTAGACCTGGCCATATCTCTCCACACAGACACCAAGGGGATGAGTGGTCTTCTGTACAGAGAACCCTTTTTCAAATTTCCGAATGCATTTCTGTGTAAAAAGAAAAAAGCAGATACACAACAAGTATACAGTACAGGTCTGTTTATGCCTGCTGTCACAGCAGGGACATGGACAACAGGGACAGAGGCGGGAAGGGACAGCAATGCCCCAGGGAGCGGCCATAGGATGGTGTATATTGTGTGTCACAGCTGCAGGAGAGTTCATGTGCCATGTCACAGGGAAGTGTGTCTTTATCTGCATCTTTATCCCCTCCCTACTCAGAAGCCAGTGACAACAGTCTGCCTGATTCCCCTCCTCAGTTTGACTCAAAATGTGACAGCTGTTGTGCAGAGGGCAAACTAGAAATCCCGAATCTACAACATAATAAGCTTATGACACATATTTACAAAGAAACACTAAATCATAGCCTCAACAGCACATCCACCAAACGCTTCAAGAAGAGGAAACAGTGGCCTCTCCGCAAACTTGGGAAGCATGGCAGAAAGTCAGACATGTCCCCATGAGACACCTGACTACAACCCCTGGGAAAGGCAGAGAAGGCAGTTAGCAGGGCCCTGACCTCAAGCAGAGATGGAGGGTGCATGGCGACCGAGGAGCGTGTCCTTGGGGGCTCTCTGGATGCTCATGTCTCAGAGACTCATTCTGTGCTGTGGCTGGACTGGAGGGTGATGACTGTCACCACCCTCGAGCAGCAGTGCCACCCCTGTAGACACATGTGTGGCTCTCAGGCACACGCATGGGATGCCCCTAGCCCTGTGCTCATGCATTAGGAAAACATTAAGGACCCCACCTCTGCCGTGTTCTAAAGCAGCTACACCATTTGTCACTTCTCAGGGACTACGTGAGAGCTCCTGTGCCCCCAAGACCTCACCCTACTTCTGGGCTCCATATTTGAGGCAGGCAGTGTTCCCTGGCTCTACTCCTGGGGAGGGGGAAGTTCTTTGCAGAGGACTCTGGGGTTCTTTCATAGAGCAGTGGCCAGAGCCAGAAGTATGGAACTCCCTGTGACCATCCTGCATGTGGCAGTTACATCGTGGTCCACCCTCCTCGATGCCTGGCCGTGATGGGTGTGGCTCACTGGAGACCATGGGGTGCGTATGGGACGCCTCCTCTTGTGCTTCCTGCCAGAGCTCACTTATGCTCGGATGCTCTGCTGCACAAACACATGCAGCACTCTCACCATAGATCCTTCTGACCCTGACCTTCTTATGAAGTGAACACCTGTTTCCCTTAAACCTTCCAGAGGAAACAAGTGATGCTACCATCCTGGTCCATCGTGAATCTTCCCCTGGCCTATGAGTTGCCCGCTGGGGGAGGCTGAGTTCTGAGTTCTAGTGGCCCTCCTCGTTCTTGTTGAGATGCTGGAGTCGGCTCCTGAGTACACTCCCAGCTCCTGGCCACAGTACCTCTTAGTGCCTTTTGGCGTCCTACAGTCTCATGGGCAGCAATAAATCTCATATGAACTCTTCCATAGGTCTGGGGTGGGCAAGACTGAATATGGACCACAGCTTATACCAGAGAAAGTTGTAGGCAAAAGAGTCACCATGTCCACCTTATCATCAGTTTCCAGATGTTAATTCCACAGCCCTGCAGGGTTCTCCCTCCCTGTCATTGAGGACACAGCTCCCATCCTTCCACACGAGCAAGCTAGTGGTCGTGTGACATGTGGTGGTACATAGGACCCATCGAAGTGGCATGGTGGCTGTGCACTGAGGCAGTGGGATCCACTTAGGTCTACAGGGCCCTGCTTCTCCCATTTGTCACCACCTAGCTCCCATTAGACAGCGTAACCATGATTCGGAAAAGCTTGCAAACATGCGAACTTCTAGAAGAAGTTCTCCTGTAGATGAAGATGAAACTGGGTCTAAGGCCGTGCTCCCAGAGCCTGTGGGGACTAAGGGGTGGGCGCTGGGCAAGCATCTTGCAGTGCTGACCCCACCCTCCCGCAGAGCTGGTCATGCTCCTGGAGTGGTGGTCCTGCACGGAGTGCACTCTCTTCAGCGACCAGGCTACCGTGGACTACTTTGGGAAGGAGCATGCAGTTATCATCCTTAACCACAACTTCGAGATCGACTTCCTTTGTGGGTGGACCATGTGTGAGCGGTTTGGCGTGCTGGGGGTGAGCAATGGGGGTCAGGGAGGGGCTGGGTGAATGATGGGGTCTGGGGTGCCTCACAGGGAGTTCAGGGAGGGCCTGGGTGAGTAATGGTGGAATGGGGCCCCAGGAGGAGTCCTCTGGAATCTGAAGTTCCCAAGGCTCTAGAGGCTTGTCCCTTGGAGGTTTCTTGGCTTGCCCCCTTAAGGGTAAGCAGTCTGGCAGATGAGAGGGGGGGTGTTTTCCCTGTGTGGTACCCTCTGCAGTTTCCTGCCTACTTTTGTGATTAGCTGTGACTTCATTTCTTGTCACTACCTTTCACCTTCCAGAGGATCCCACTCAACACCAACTGAATAATGGCAGTTACCCGAGTGGCCTCAGTTGAATTTAAACCACACTAAAGGAGCCAGGTGTTTCAGTGTAGCCAAAGCTCCTAAGCCATGGCAGGAAATTGGAGGTCAGGAAGGACCCTGGAACTCAGGTGCTATCTACCATGTCCTGGTACACCTGCCCTCCTCCCAAGATTTGGCTATTGAATAGTTCCTGGGGTCGCCCCTCCCCATGTGTGCTTGAGGGATGCTGGTCCAAGGATCATACACTCATAAGCCAGGGTCTCACTTATAGAAAATGCTTTGAGTCAGGAAAAGGAAGATCTGAGCCCCTGGAGTAGCTGTGGGGCTTCTGGCCAGGCCCTCCCCACCTCTGACAGGTGCCACTGGCCTCCCTGCTCCCTGCAGAGCTCCAAGGTGCTGGCTAAGAGGGAGCTGCTGTGCGTGCCTCTCATTGGCTGGACGTGGTACTTCCTAGAGATCGTATTCTGCAAAAGGAAGTGGGAAGAAGACCAGGACATTGTCAAGGAGGGACTGAAGCGCTTGGCAGACTACCCAGAGTACATGTGGGTGAGTTTGCTGCATGTACCATGAGTCCTCCTGTGTGCCATGGCCCAAGTTATACATTGTGAAATCTTCAGCTGGAGAAATGGCTTAGTCAGTAAAATACTTACCACAAAAGTGTAAGAAACCAAGTTTGAGCCCTAGAACCCAAGTAGAAAAGCCAGACTGTGGTGAACATACAATTAATCCCAGCACTGGAGAGGTGGAGATGAGTGGATCCCTGAGGCTCACTGGCCAGCCAGCCTAACATACTCGTCGAGCTCTAGACCATTGAGACACCCTGTCTGAAAAACAAAGGTGGGCAGTGCCTGAGGAGCCACACCCAAGATTGACCTCCAGCCTGTACACACACACACACACACACACACACACACACACGTGTGCATGCACCCATGAGACCATCCCACATGTCTTTCAGACATGTCCTCTTCCCTTTCCCTCTGCAGCAAGCCCAGCTTTGGCACACACTCTCCTAGGGTTCAGGGAGGTGAGAGAGCATAGCGTATCTCATCTTTCTTGTCTACTCTTGAAGCCTGGCTTCTTAGTTCACATTTCTCACACCGTGCTTGGGGACAACAGATGCTCTGTTTTCTGATCAAAGGCTGCTTGCTGTCCAGAGACACCTTCAGGTTTTTCTTCTTCTGGAAAGTTCTTTCAGGAAAACCATTCTGTATGCATTCATTTGTGTGACTGGAGTGCAGATTGCAGCTCTAAAATAAAATACCATTTCGATGACACCACATGGTGTTTCTGCTTCTCTGTACACCCAGCCGCGTGTGCTATGCTGCTGTAGTACGTGAGACCTGGGATGTTAGGGGCTTGAATGGCGAGGCTCTGGTTCCATCCCAGCTGCCCAGGAATAACCCTCTTGCCTCTCCCTCCCCTGCGCTCCTTCTGCACCTAGTTTCTCCTGTACTGCGAAGGAACACGCTTCACAGAGACCAAGCACCGCATCAGCATGGAGGTGGCTGCCTCCAAGGGGCTGCCCCCACTCAAGTACCACCTGCTGCCCCGGACCAAGGGTTTTACCACTGCAGTCCAGTGCCTCCGGGGGACAGGTAGGAGACAGGGACCCATGGTATGCAACAGGAAGTTAATGGGGCTGGGGGGGTTGCTCAGTTGGTAGAGGACTTGCCCGGAATACATGGGGTTCTGTGTTCTAGCACTCCATAAGCCAGGCATTGTGGCACATGCCTGTAGTCACAGTGCTCAGGAGATGAAATCAGGGTCAGAAAATCATTTTCAACAGTATAAATTCAAGGTCATTCTCAGCAAGATAGTTTGAGGCAAGCCTGGGCTACATGAGCCTTTGTCTTAAAAAGAAAAGCATATGTGTGTGTGTGTGTGTGTGTGTGTGTGTGTGTGTGTGTGTGTGTATGAAGCACAGGGAAGGATGGAAGTAGGATTGGCATGTTATCAAATCCTCTGTAAATAATATAAAGCATTATAAAGGAGAAGGTCAGAGCAGAGATGTCTGGTTCCCTTAGAAGGAGTTACACAAGCCACAGAAAGGGCCCAAGAGCATTGGGCACGCAGAAACCAGCAGCAGAGAACGCCTGAGCAGCCAATGGTGTGTGTGTGTGTGTGTGTGTGTGTGTGTGTGTGTGTGTGTGTGTGTGTGTGTAGATCATTGTCTGTGCTCTTGATGGGGTGGGCAGACCCAAGTGAAAGAGTGGCTTTTCTGTGTGGTGGTGATGTCACTGCTGAGTGCCCCGCCCCTCTGTCCCATCTGTCACTCACTGGTCCTGTCTCCTCTCCACAGTTGCAGCTATCTATGATGTGACCCTGAACTTCAGAGGGAATAAGAACCCATCCCTGCTGGGGATCCTCTATGGAAAGAAATACGAGGCAGACATGTGTGTGAGGTGAGTGCCCTTCCCAGGGCTGTCAGGGCTCCTGAGGACACAGGAAGGCAACACAGGAGCCCCTAGTGTCTCCAGCTGTGTTTCCCTGGCCAGTGTGAGGCTCGTTTCTTGTCTGCCTCTCAGTCTCAGTAGACACCTGTGCACGTCTCTCTGACGAGAGCCCTGTCCCAAAGCCTGCGGTGTCCGTTGCTCTCCTCTGGGCAGCAGACACACAATCTGGAGAACTAATGCTAACCTCTGATGTCTTGATCTGAGCTGGTGACATGGGACCTCCTACACAGCTCCTGGTAGAGTGGGACTGTCGCCAAGTGGCTCTCATCTGGCTTGGCCTGGGAAGTTCTGATTGGGTAAGGCCTTGCCCAGGGGATGGAGCCTGCAGGGCCATCTTCTGTGGTACAGCCACTGTCCAGACCCATTGGAACTGCCTGAGGCATGCCGAGACCTCATCACACAGAGGACACAGAGGCAGCCTGCCTTCTTGAACACAAAGTCAAGGTTAGACAGGATGGGTGGAGTCACATCTCAGTGTTGGCTGGGACCATAGCCAAGGCGATGTTCATCTCTGTGTCTCCTGAGGTAACAGTGCACCAAAATTCACTTCCATTTGATACCTGTGCTTGGTTCTTCTAAGTGGACTTGAGCTCATGCTGGCTTACAAATTACACTGCAAGGGGGCTTCCAGAAATAAGGCTGTGAACATAAACAGTAAAAGCTTGTTGGCGTTTTCCTCCTGGACTTTGTAACAGATGGGTAACTGAGGTTCCAGACCCTGTATCGTGTCCTGGGAGCTTGCCTGGGATTGAGATTAGCAAGTGAGCCTGAGGTCCTCTCCTTCATGTTGCTCATCTTCCATCAAGGGGCCACCCAAGGGGCTGTGGTGATTAACCCTGAGCCTTAGGTGGCGTCCATGGCCACATGTGTCAGTTAGCTTCTTATCACAGTAACAGACACCTGAGACAACTTACGAAGAGGAAACTCTGTTTACACTCAGGGCTTTGACAGTTTCAGTCCATGGTTGAGTGTCTGTTGCTTTGGTCCAATGTGGGGTCAGCATGTCACGGCAAGAACACAACATGTGGCTGAACATAGTAACCACCTCATCAGCCAGCTGGTAGAGGAGCAAGGGCTGGGGTGCTGACTCTTCCAGAGATGGAGGTCCATGACCAACGACCTTGCACTATGCTGGTCCCTCCAGAGATGGCCATGACCAAAGACCTCCCACTATGCTGACTTGTCCAGGGATGACCATGACCGAGCACCTCCTACTAAGCTGGTCCCTCCAGGGATGAATTGCTGTGATTAAGGACCTCCCACTATACTGGCCCCTCCAGGGATGGATGGCCATGACCTAGGACCTCCTACTATGCTGGTTTGTTCAGGGATGGCCATGACCAAGGACCTCCTACTGGGTCCCATGTTTTTAAAGTAGGGCCTCCTCAGAGACCAAGCTGCTAACACATGATCTTTGAGAGAACAAAACCATAGATGGCAGAGACTGAGAATCTGGCCATGTCTAGAAGTGAGCCCCTCAGAGGCCAGTCATGCTTCTGTCCCTAGCTTAACTGCCCCAGGTCAGAGCCAGCCTGTGCCAGGATGGCCAGGTCTCCCTCATCCAGCCCCTCTTGCCATTCAGTCACCCATCAGGCTGAAGGGCCCCCACATGGACACCAAGCTGTGACTAGGGAGACCTCCTCCACCTGTCCATTGCTCTGTAGTATTCCGATTCTGTAGATCTGTCCAGCTGTATTCCAGTAGGCATCTTAGAGCTCTCAGAGGTCTTGGCTGGTCAGTGCTCTTGACCATGCACTTTGCACAAATGAGCCTTCCCACCACCCAGCATGCCCCTGTAGTCGAAGCTAAGGCCTCCCAAACCAGAGCCGCACTCATTACAGCAGTTCCTCTTCCTGTACTTACAGTTCCGTTTACATCCGGGCAAATGAAGTCTGAAAACGTTAAAACAGATGAAACCGTGCGGCCTCCTCCACCCCCTGGATGCAAAGCACCCGTCTCATGTGCCCCCATTGTATCTACCCCTATAGTCATTCAGCAGTCTCAAACACAGTGCTTATGTTTAAGTGTCCCCACGTGACTTTATAATGGCTTCAAAGCACAAGAGTAGTGAAACAAAGGAAGCCCTAGGGTGTGAAACATTTGGCACACCAGAAAACACAGTATGCAGAGGGTTTCTGATGACACCTGGGGGACTTGGGTTGTGTCCCCATGAGGGCACTCTTCACCCTAGTGCTTGTGTGCCTGTGTAAACCCAGTGCTGGGTGCCATCTCCTGGGCATTGTGGGTACTGCAGCTCCCTATGGAAAGCATGAACTCCCTGTCTAGTGCCCATCAAACCCACTACGTTGCTGAGGCTGGCCTGGTGCACCTGATTCTTTTGCTCTACATCCCAAGTTCTGGCATTACAGGAATGTGCCACTGGGTCTAACTTGCCTGCTTGTATGCTCTCTCCTCCCCTCCCTCCCTCTTCCCCATCCCTCCCTCCTTCCCTCCCTCCCTTCCAATAGTAGTTATTATGTTCTGGAATGGGGTCTCACTACGTAACCTTGGCTGGCCTGGAATTTGACATGTAGACCAGGCAGACCATGAACCTGTCTGTCTCCCAAGCGCTGGGATTAAAGGTGTGGGCCACCATGCCCAGCTCTGGGTCTTGTTTTTTGTTTTTCGAGATGAAGTTTCTTTGTGTAGCACTGGCTGTCCTGGAACTCGCTCTATAGACCAGGATGACTTCAAATTCAGAGATCCACCTGCCTCTGCTCCTGAGTTCTGGGATTAAAGCTTGGGTTTAGCTTTTTAAAGAAGCTTATGACACACATACTTAGTCTCACGTGACAGAGTCCTAGCTGGCTGTCTCCACAAATGGCTCAGTTAACTGACTGTCCCCACCACGAGTGGCATCTCTCTCTGAGCATGTGATTTCAAGTTAAGCACAGCAGTTGAGCTGCTCCTCCTGGGAGCAGTGAAGCTCTTGCCATCAGATGTTTCTAAAAGGCAAGGACATGTGCTTTACACACATGGTAGAGTTCTGGGTACCAGACATGCCCTGTGAGCCGTAGGGGTGTGGGCATGGCATTTCTCTCTTTAGGGTCTCCACTGTAAAAGTGATGGAGAGGACTTCCCAGCACTTCTGAGTACAGTTCACACCCTCTGTTTATTCAATCTGACTTATTTTCACAGCAAGGCATGAGCCCACAGTTACAGGACTTCCTAACAGTATATTCAAAATGAAATCCATCCATGGAGTCAACAAATGATCATGTCAGAGCCCCCTCTGGAAACACCCTCATAGACATGCTCAGAGGTGTGCTCTGTCTCCTAGCCTCTCTCAGTCCAGTGAAGGTGACAGTCAAGATCAAATGCCACAGACACCTGTCTTGACTGTGCTGGCAAAGACCAAACGCTGCACCACCCTATGGGGAAGTCGAGGCATGCTCTCTCAGGAGGTAGCTCACAAGTGTCCCCAGCTATAGAGGTCTCTTTTAGCCCTCACGTGGGGTCCAGAGGGTCCCAGTGTGTCGGGTGACTCACGCACTTAGTCTGCTGCCTGCTTGTTTCGGTTGCTCCCTCCCAACTTCGAGTAGATGGTTTTCATTCTCTCTTTTTATTTCTGATCTTCTTGATGCAACAGGAGGTTCCCCCTGGAAGACATCCCAGCAGATGAGAATGACGCGGCCCAGTGGCTTCACAAGCTGTACCAGGAGAAGGTAAAGGCTCCTGTCTGCCTGGGTCCCACCTCCGAAGCAGGCAGGGTAGTAAGGAGGGTGGGCGGGTGCCACATGGTTCCCCTTTGGACACCAAACATTGGTGCTCCTCACCTCATTTGATTCTTCTCTTTTTCTTAACATTTGAGAAACCAACGCTCGGGTGAAGTGTGAAGCCTGACACAGTGCCCCACGCGTGGAGCTGTGTTGCTGGCATTTTACCATATTCCTCTTTTACATAAAGAAATTGTATGCGCGTAGCAGACATTGCCCAGATTTGCAACCGTGTGTTCATTATGTCGTGGGGCCCCACAGAAGACACCTGGGGAACTTCTGAGACCACGGTGCCCAGGTCCCACTCACAGGCATGCTCACCCTCTGCCACTTCCTGGGACAGTCAATGTCCACTTCAGCATTGTTGGAAATCAGATGACCAGAAAAGCCTGCAGGAAACAGTTCTTTCCAGGGTTCTGAGCAGCTCCCAAGGAAGTAAGGGAACTCCAGAGAGCAAGGAAGGAAGAGAGCGAGACCTGAGAGCTACTATGTACCCTGCTAGTGTTTTCAGGTCCCCCCAAAGGCCCGATTGTAAGCCTCAATGGGACCAGATGGTGAGATGTGACTTTGCGAAGGACAGTAAGGTGGTAGCATGTGCCCCACGTGAGGCCCAACCTTCTAGGAAGTCAGCCAGGGAAGGTTGAACTTGTCCCCACCGGCCTCCTCCTCTGTGTGGAAGAGTGTTGTTGCCCTGGTGACCATGCTGGCCAACCTCACAGTTCCAGAAGATGGAGACACTAGAAAGTAGTACACAGAGAGTCCCCTCGGGGTGCTGAGGGAGACCCATGCATGGCTGGAAGAGGCAACCCCAGAGGCAGACTGCTCAGGGTTTGCACAGATGGGACCCAGCTGAAGGCCAGGAGCAAGCTACCACAATACAGAGTGCCCAAGGGAGCAAACCTTTGCCAATGCCCAACAGAACAAAGTGCTCAGAGGAACTTGAGAAGTAGCAGATACAGACTAAAATAAGCATGGAAAGATGAAAATGGAAACCAAGAAGGCCTGCAAAAGAAAGGCCTTAGGGCATGGAGAACAAAATCAGCCTGCTGGCAGAGCAGCACTATGGGCCATGTGCTCTGTGTACAGCGCTTGCCGTGTGTCAGGTTCCTACTGCATGCCAAATGCTTTCCTCAAGGACATTCACGAACGGGCTGCACAGATGGCTCAGTGGCTGCTCTTCCAGAGGACCAGGGTTCTATCCCCAGTACCCACATGGAAGCTTACAACTGTCTGCAACCTAACACAGACATGCAGGCAAAACACCAGCGCATTGCTAAATAAATATTAAAGAAGAAGCCAGGTGAAGTAGACCACACCTTTATCATAGCACTCAAGAGGCAGAGGTTTGAGGTTCAAGGCCAGTATTCCAGGACAGCAAGGTTGGACATGGTGAGGCCCTATCTGTCTCTCAAAAAAAAAAAAAAAAAGAACATTAATAAAATAGAAAACTCTGGTCAAGGCTTTTTAAACAAAGTGATGGAATTAGTATTAGCATGAATAAAACAAGATACAACCAACAAAGAGGGCATCAAACCATATGAGCTTGGTATGGCTGGCGTCATGTCTACTTGTTTGGAAATCTGGATAAAGTCTGTTACCTCCTTTGTGACAGTTGTCCAGCACAGTAGGTGTAAGAAGCTCTTAGCTCACACATCTCAGACCATGAACCACAGACCTACACACCCATCATTCTCCTGGGGTCCAGAATATGTCATCCTATTCCCGCCTGTGCCAGGATGTTGTCTGCTTTATTCTGTGGCCTGCATCTTGGCCAAGTGGCTCTTATTGCTGAGTTTTCTCCTGCATCACAGTCCCATTTGGCAATCTTGACTTCCTGTTCTCCCCTTCACTCCCAGGACGCCCTGCAAGAGATGTACAAGCAGAAGGGCGTATTCCCAGGGGAGCCAATCAAGCCTGCCCGAAGGCCATGGACCCTCCTGAACTTCCTGTGCTGGGCCACCATCCTCCTCTCTCCCCTCATCAGCTTCGTCCTGGGCGTTTTTGCCAGTGGATCCCCGCTCCTCATCCTGACGTTCTTGGGGTTTGTGGGAGCAGGTAAAGAGCACAAATGTGCCAGCTCACATGCTGGGGTCACTGGGCCACCACCATGCCCAGGACTGATGGCTCGCCATGGTGTCCCGGGAAGCAGCAGCTTGGGTCAGGGAACTGAGTGGCTCTGTCTCCTGGTGTGGGACTGTGGAGGTCTGTGTCCTCCTGTGGCTCTCCTGTGACTTCCTGTACTACAGTGGCCACACACTGGGAGGAAGGGATGGGGGGGCGTGGCAAGGTCAGTGAGGGTGCCTTGGTGAGGTTAGCCTCTAACCTTCTCTCTCTTGTCTTAAAGCTTCCTTCGGAGTCCGAAGACTGATAGGAGTCACTGAAATAGAAAAAGGCTCCAGCTACGGCAACCGAGAGCTTAAGAAAAAGGAATAATTAATGCTGTGATTGAACACCCATAACCTGACGCGGTATCCAATTAACTCAATTAAAAACCGAACACACAGAGCGAGGGAAAGAGACACTTAGAGACTATTTTTCTTATTAACTGGTGACTAATATTAACAAAACTTGAGCCAAGAGCAAAGAACTCAGCTGCCAGGTGAAGATGGTCAGCCAGCACCCAGGGTCCCATCGGCCCTCTGCGGGGACAGAGGCGGGCTTGGGGAAGGTGGTGGGGCCATGGGGCTCCCCCAGAACTCCGCCTCCAAGAGGCGGCCTTGGCTGCTCTCCCTTCTTAAACTTAGAATGAGGCTTTTGTTTCTTATCTGTTATCTTGGGAACTTAACCTGGCCCCCACTTTGTGCCCTGCACCCCAGAACACTGGCTTTTCATGGGTGCCGCTGTCCTCATGGGGGCAGGTCAGCTGGATCCTTGTCCTACAGAGCTCATTTGCCCGGCCCTGCTTGGCACCTCCGCTTCTAGCCTGGGGGAGGAGGTCTTCTTAGAGATAAGCACAGGCTGAATGTAGATCTGGCCCCTTTGTCCCCGCCCCATCCAGGGGCTGAAGACCACCCCTCCATCCTCTGCAGCACCGTTGGCACTGCCTCTCCGGGGGCTGTGTCTACAGCACCTTACGTCTGTTTTTAAAGTGAACGCCCGAGAACTCTGCAGTATGTGGGATCCTTGACTCCATACAGCTCCATGGCCCCCTCGTCCTCCGTAGCCAGCAGGCTGCAGTCCTGCCCAGGGCCAAATGGGAAGACTACCTGGGCCCAACACCTCAGAGCCGTGGTGCCTGGGGGGCTCCAGCCTATGGGACTCCTCTGGGACACTCTTCAGGAGGTGGTGTCACCATCAGGCCTCCTTGTTCTCAGACACCTTTAGTGCTTGCTAGCATTAGAATTTATTTTTACAAATTGGTCTGTGGCTGGCTCGCAGCTTGTCCCTGTCCTCATCTTCTGCCTCTCTCCAGGCAAGTGTCATGGCTGCCCTCCACACCCACTGTCGCCCACTACCACCTCAGTGACATAAGCTGTCCCAGCACAGCAGAGAACGGGGGTCCTCCACCTGCACTTGGTGCCTTGCCAGGGTCCCGTGGGCTGGCTCTGGAGGCACATTACCCTTCTCACTCAGTGAAGGAAGGCCTGCCTGGTTTCTGGAAGACCTGGTTCCTTGGGGAACACCATCTACACCTTTACCTTCTGTCTGGAACTTTCCACAGGCCCTTTTAAAGTCACTTCATGTTTTCTAACAAGGAAAAACCCGGGTATTTTTTGTGGCATGCTGCAGCCAGAGTTGAGTAAAGGCGGAGAAGATTTATAGGGCACACTGGAATGAGGAGGCCTGGAGAAGCCTGAGGGTAGACCCGGGCCTGACTCTGCACGGCCCTCAGTGCTGGGGACCTCGTGAGGCAGTGTGCCCGCTTTACAGAAGGCTCTCCTGGCCTCTGAGGTCCACGCACAACAGAATGGTCGTGGATTGCTCCTATCACTCTTAGGCAACAGCTACAGTCACAGCTGCCTTCAAGGGTGAAGGGTTAAGTCAAACAAACTGAGACACCGAATCTCTCCCCTCCAGCTGAAGGCTTGCCTGACCTGGCCTCTGCCAACTGTGAGCCATCTTGGGCCCTCCCGAGGGCCAGCTCCCTCCCTGCTGGGGTGTTCTTTCTGTCTGCTTGAGGTTTCTGTCCTTCCCTAACTCACTGTCACCTCACAAATCTGAAGGAAACAGGCCAGTGGGCCCTGCCATGCATGCACCTGGCCCCAGATAAAGCAAGCTCAGAGCCTTTACCATTTCACTAATGCCTCTGACTTCCTGAGAAACCCTCAGCCTTTGAGATCAGCTGAGTGTTGAGTCTGTGAATGGCAGAGGAGTCCAGGCTGCAGGCTTTGCCCTCTTAGGCCTCCCCCTGCTTATCCTCCAATTCAGCGCTTCTGAGAGCAATAAAAACTACACTAGGAATGTGGGTGTGGGGTTTTTTTTGTTTTGTTTTGTTTTGGTGGGGTCAGATTTTGCTTTTCATCTGCTTCAGAAGGAAAGGGGGAGGAGAGTCCCTTGATTTTTCTATTAAATTAATAAATCTCCGAATAAGGCTTTTCTCTTTTTCCTTCACACCCTACTACTGATAGGCATGGCTGATGTCATGCCCAGATTCAGACTGAAGGTGCTGCAGAAGCAGCTTGCTAGTCTTCAGGGAGCCCATTCTGGAAGCAGTGGACTCAGGAGCCAGAGGCCTGGAACTGGAGTGGTTGGTGGCTTTGGGAGAAGGGGACTGAACCGCTAGGCTGGCGCTGCTTTAGGGTCTCCAGCAGAGGGGACCCCACAAAGTCAGCTCAGACAGAGACATGGTCTCCTTACCACTCAGGCTCAAGAGCCAGGTACATGAGGGCTCCTGCCATGTTTCTGAGAGACCTGCCATGTTTCTCCCACCCCTGGTCTCTGGCTACACCCACGTACCTCATGTAGGCCTCTCTGGAGCTGTGCTGAGCTACAGCCGTGGCTGCCATTCTCCTGACTGCCGGTAGTGGTTCATGGTACCCACATGGGGCATCTAGGGACTGTGCTGCTCTCTCTGAGGGTTTTGTGTTAGCATCCTATTGGTGACCATCCTGCAAGAAGCAGGGTCAACAAGCTAGGAAGGCTGATGGTCAGCGTGTGGGCAGTTCAGAGATCAGATCTCCTCTTGACAAGACCTTTCACCCAGAGAAAGAAGCCACTTGTTATGTGTGGGTGTTTGGTCAGCATCCATGAGTCACATTCGAGATGCTGTAAGGCCCTGTCCTCAGGAAGCAGTCTGTTGAGCTCTGAAAACACATTCTGCTAGATAACATATTGCATCAATGTAACAACACTTTCTTGTAGAAACAATACCAGTGTCATCACAGATGCCTAGATTCCCCTCCCTCCTCTTCCATGGGCCTTGCCCTGAGAATCTTTTCTGCCTCTGATCTAGCCCTGCCTTTATTGCCCTGAGAATCTTTTCTGTCTCTGATCTAGTCCTGCCTTTATACCATCAGAAAACGTCAGGGTTAGTCCCAGCAATGAGTTACACTCATAGGCGATTCAAGAGATGCCAGGAGGCCATCCACACCCACCGTGACTACTGATTTATTTGTGTCAGGTCCAGGTTGAAGAGTAAGTGGTTCTTCCTGCATGTTGCCCTGTCTCTGCCTTGAGACCTTATAGGACAAGCCAAAAGTAGCCTTTCCGGCCCTGATGACTTACATCTCAATTGTTCATTCCACACATAGACCCCCACCACCACCAGCTAGATGCATGTGACGCTTAGTGCTAGCGTTTTGGTGTGGCTTCTGGCCCTCTGCAGTGTCATGAGGCTCAGGGTTAGAATGGCGCACCTGAGATGCCTGCTGCCTTCTTTCTGGAAACATCTCTGGCCTACGGGCCAGTCCCAAACCAAAGGCACCTGGGCCTGGGTGAGGGCATCCCTGACCTGCCTTAGGCCTTGTCCCAGAGTCTTGCCACGGGGCTGTCAGTTAGGTGCTGACACTCAGGCCCCAGATCCCTGCATACAGGGCCAGGATTTGAAAATGCAAGTTCAAGTTTGGGTGATCTGCTTGGCTGACAGGGTGGACACATAAATCAAAGTTTATTACAGGCATTTGAAATCAGTTAATTCAGGGGGATGGTGGTATTCTTGCAAACCACTCGAGAAATAAAACAATGAGGGCACTTTGAGAAGCCACTGGAGAGGGTGGCATCGCCTCTTCACAGACCTGGGAAACTGTGAACTTTGTTCCGACAGGTCACCTGGAGTTTTCTTTTCTCTCTAGCTTTTTGGCTTCTTTCTGTTGCAAAAGTGTTTGGAGAGAAGTGTGGCTGTGAATGAGACCCTGAAATGCACTAAATTGTATTCTATTAAACTGGAGTTACTTGATTCAATGAAGAGCTGCATCGCTCTACTTGTATTTTTTTTTTTTTTTGTCTCAGAGTAGTAACATTGTGACAATCAATCATGACTTGCCTCAAGGCCTGTACCCCCTGGCGTCTGACCAGCGAGTCCTCTAACTACAGGAACGGCTCTTTCTGGAAGCCACACAAACCATGGACTCTAATGATGAAATGCTGTGTGGGTGGGCAGACATCTGAGCTTCTTTTCCTAATCCTGAGAAATTGCCATAGCTGACTGTGGGCAGTCTCAAGGGGATGCTTTGTCTACAGGGTGCAACTGTGTTATATGGATGTTTCCTTTTGTACACTTCTTTTTACAAGTTTGCTACTCACAAGCTTTCTGTGGTAAAGATGGAGGTCTGTGGTCTAGGAAGATGTCCAGGTGTGAGAGCTGACTTAAGCTTTGCAGGCCTGGATCTACAGCCTGGCTGTGTTGACTGCTATGCAAAGCTCTCTGTCCACAGCACGTGGAAGGTCACCTAGGCAGTGCGGCACTCCTGCTTGGTGGTACTTTCTAGGCAAAATGCATAGGTGTCATACTTGTTTATTACAGACACTGTTGTGAAAGAGGGATAAAATGTCCACAATATATGAGAAAGTGACTCTCTGCCTCTTCTTCTTTCTTTCTGGTCTGCATAGACTTTCAATTGGGGACGGCCCTTAGGTGCTTCCTGTCTCTTGGGGCCACCCTCCTCCCATCCCTTGTGCTCTGCCTTTTCTCTGAGGCCCTTTAGCTGCCAGTGCTCTGTCCCAGGGTCCCAGGACCCCAGGGCCCCAGGGCCCCAGGGTCTCTACTCTGGGCAGTAGAGGCCGGGAACTCAGCGAGCCTGTGAAGAGACCCAAGGACCCACATTGGGTTTTAAAACCCATTGAGGAGGCTGGAGAGGTGACTCCACAGTTTAGAGCTCTTGTTCCTCCAGAGGACCCGGGCTTGATGCCCAGGACCCATGTGGCAGCCCTCAACCGTCTGTAACTTCCAGGGAATCCAGCGCCTTCTTCTGGCCTCCTTGGGGACCAAGAATACACATGTTACAGAGACATGCATGCAGACAAAACATTTGTACACATAAAAATAAATCTTTTTTGAGCTGGGCACTGGTGGTGCATGCTTTAATCCCAGCACTTGGGAGGCAGAGGCAGGAGGATCTCTCTGAGTTCAAGGCCACCCTGGTCTCCAGAGCGAGTTCCAGGACAGCCTCCAAAGCAATATAGAGAAACCCTGTCTCAAAAAACCAAAACCAAAACAAAATAATAATAATAAATCTTTTTTGAAAGCTAAAATTTGCTGAGGACAAATGGATTTCAAAGTCAGCAGGCCTATGTCCTGAGCCACTTTAGTAAAAACCACCTTCATTTTGTGGAGGTAACAAAAAGCCACTTCTCCATTAAAAGGGACATTGGCTGGGGCTGTAGCTCAGCTGGTAAAGTGTTGCTTAGCAAACCTGGGTTCCATTCCCCAGCACATGAACCAGGCTTAGGGTTCCACACTGATCATCGTAGCACCTGGGAGACTGAACCCGGGCTAAAGAGTGCAGTGCCAGTGTAAGCCATGTGAGACCCCCATCCCAGAAAACCAAAGGCAAAGAAGCGGGTGGGGCAAAGGCCCGGTTAGAACGAACCAAAAGCTGCTCCAGGTCTCGATTGTTTTCCGAAAATCAACTTCACTGAAAGAACTTTGATGTCATGCTTGCGGAAAGAGCCTGGGACACGTGTCCTTGTGCTGCGGGTTATATTCCTCCAAGGTGGCATCGGTGTAGTGGAGCTAGCTCAGCCTCCATCAGGAACTCTGGAAAGCCCCACACGTATACATGCCACAAGTACACGTGGGTCATGCATGCACATGCCGCACACGCAGGCTTTGGAAACCATCCTGTGCACTCCTCCAAGAGCAGAAGCTCAGTGCTCAGACAGATTCCCACAGTGACAGCAGGGTCTGTGAGCAGAGTGGCCTGCTTCTCACTGGCATTTGAAATCACCAGCCTTAGAGCTAACGAGACGGCTCAGACAGTAAAGATGCTTGCCGCCAATCCTGAGGACCTGAGTTTGCTCCCCAGGACCCACATGATGGGGGAGAGAACTAACTCCTACAGATTGTCTCCTTTGACTTCCATCAACCAATGTGAAAAAATTCAAATTTGGCAGTCACGGGCCAGGCGGTGGTGGCGCACTCGGGAGGCAGAGGCTGGTGGATCTCTGTGAGTTCGAAGCCGGGCTGGACAGACAGCCTCCAAAACAATACAGAGAAACCCTGTCTCGTAAAAACCAAAAAAAAAAAAAAAAAAAAAAAAAATTTGGCAGTCACACAGTTGAGCTATTTGTCGTTATTTTACTACTCTTCTGCAGGCGATGCCTCAATGTGGGGGTCATGGCGAGTTACTTTTCAGTGATTGTTGAAGCCACTGACCCTTCGCTTGGACCCATCAGGTGTCACCCAACAAGTGACACACAATGGACTACATTGTCAGAGTGCTAAACATTTCTGCCATGCCACCACATTCTGAGCTTGTGTCCCACGGAGAGTCTGTCTCTGACTGCCCGGTGCCCTGCATTTTTAAAATGGAAGTTCTGGGATTTAGCTCAGGGCCTTGTGTTTGCAAAGTAGGCACCTAATAAGTGGAGCCCACCTCCGCAGCCTATCCCATACTTGGTTTTGGCTTTGATATTCATGTTTCCACCCAAGGTTCCTTCAGGGTGAGCAAACCAGTTCTAAAGTTCCTTTGGTGAAAACTCAAGTTCAGATTTTCAGAAAATGCCCCTATTTTGCTCTGGTTTAAAAAGGCTTATGTAGCTGTGTGAATAACCATATCCTGCTATTACTTCCTCTCGAATTTCAAAGAATTGTTTTACATTTATGAGTGTTTTGCCTGTATGTATGTATGTGCCCTATGTGTGTACCGTGCCCACTGAGGCCAGAAGAGGGCATCAGATGCCCTGGAAATGGAGTTCCAAATAGTGTCAGCTGCCAAGTGACTGCTAACCAAAACCAGACCCTCTGCAAGAGCAGCCAGTTCTCTTAACTGCTGAGCCATCCCTCCAGCCCCTTTCTTGATTTTGAAGACATTCTCTGCCTTCTGCTCTTCTGGCTAAGACATCCAAAGAAAGTATTTCTCAGTTGGTGGTCTGTCCTCAATTGGCATCTGATTTTCTCCTAGGGATGAAACAGATTCTGCAAGTGGGTTTCTAGGACTGATGGGAAAAAAATTCACACTCTGTTCTAGTGACTGAGACAGGACACCCAACTGGTGACTGAGCACATCGGTTTGCTGTGCCCTGGGGTGTAGGCTTGGGAGCTCTGGCTGGCCCTCTTCTGGGTCATCTACCTGAGCTGATGATCTCTGTGGTTATGAATCTCCTGCCTAATGTAAACTGGAGATCCTGTGCTGGGAAGCCTGGCGCCAAGAGGCCCTTAAATTGTAGCACCAGGGCCAGCAGGATGACCTGATTTCCATCTATGAGACCCACTTGGTGGAAGGCAACAACTAATTATCTCTGACTACACACACACATACCATGACACAACCCCATCCCCCCAAATAAACGAATTTAAAATGTAGCCATTTTTTTAATGGTGTTGCTGCCAGAGGCTGTGAGGAAGGCAGGCAGGCCTGTAGCTGAAGTCTGTGTCCATGCTGGCGTCAGAAAGCACTGCCCTGCTAGTGTTCCTGGGGTCACTTGGGACCGGGTGCCACAGTGGAGGACTGAAGCAGCCAAGAGAGAAACCCGTGTCCACTGGGGTTCAACATTTGTCCTTTGTCTGGCTAGTTTTATTGTGGGCTTAACATTGCCTCAAATCAGGTGGGAAGAGGGAAACGTAATTAAATAATTGCTTCAATCAGGCTGGCCTATGGCTGTATCTTTGAGAAACTGTCCTGATTGATGACTGACATGAGCTGCACCATTCCTAGGCAGGTGGGCCTGGCTTTATTAAAAAAACAACAACAACAACAACAACAAAAAACTAGTTGAAGCTGGGTGTAGTGGCACACACCTTTAATCCCAGCACTTGGGAGGCAGAGGCAGGCAGCTCTGTGAGTTCAAAGTCAGCCTGGTCTACAGAGTGAGTTCCAGGACAGCCTCCAAAGCTACACAGAGAAACCCTGTCTTGAAAAAACAATAAATGAAAGAAAGAAAAGGAAGGAAGGAAGCGAGTTGAGGACTGGAGAGATGATGGCTCAGAGGTTAAGAGCAGGGACTGCTCTTCCAGGGGTCCTGAGTTCAGTTCCCAGCAACCACATAGTGGCTCACAACCATCTATAATTCAATCTGGTGCCCTTTTCTGGCATGTAGGCAGAACACTGTATGTAATAAATAAATAAATCTTTAAAAGAAGAAGAAAGCTAGTTGAGCATGAGCCAGTTAGTGACCTGGAAACAGAGTTGCTCCCAGTTTCTGCTTCAGCTCCTGCCCTGATGATGGACTGTGATCTGGAAGTGAGAGCTGCGGAGACCCCTTCCTCCTGCATTTGGTCAGAGTGTTTCGTCACAGCAACAGAAAAACAAACTAGAACATTCAAGACAGCAAGCTGGACACTCCATGGCGGCTCTGAGAGAAGGCCACACTGTTGGGCCATTGCTCACTTCCTCCCCCCATCAAGGGGGTGGCCGATCAGCCAGCGGGGTCCCCTACACTCTGTGGTCACCTGGTTGTGTCCCCAGCAGACACTGAGGAGACAAAAGGATCCTCAGATGCTGAGTCCGTCTCAGGCGAGTCCACTATCCCATAGACCCCTGGATTCTCTTCTTCCTTCCTACGTCTCTGCTCCCTGGCCCCTGACCAGTAAGCCAAGCCGAGATCACACTGCTCAAGCCATTTCCAATGTGAATGTCACAGTGTTCCTTCTAGCGAGGATTTCCAGGGATACTCACTTTCAGGGCCACCGCCAATCTGGACTATGGAGTGACACCTGTTTCCAGAGGGGCCTTTGGAGTCACATGCATGCTCCTGGATCTTCCTGTGTTTTAGAATTCCCATTCACCTGCCCCACCCAGGTGGTCC